TAACCTCAATGTATGCTCCCGAATTTTAAACTTTAAGATCATGATAATAAAGTGTTTGCTTTCGCTGAATGCGTTATCCCTAATTAAATTGTTATATGTGAAAAAGTGACCATGGACTTTCTTGAAGACGTGTTGAGAAACTTTGAAAGTGTCACAAATTTCATCAGACAGAATAATATTGAATTTCTGTCTTTGCATGTACCATTCATCCATTGTTTGTGCAAGTTTTACACTTAACAAAACTAACAGAACTCCTATATACAAAGCAAACTCCTACCTACTAACAAACAAAACAAACACAACAATTTCAAACAAAACATAATTATGCAACAAAATTACACTGAGTTGATAACGAACTGAGCTGAAGGTAATAATTATTTTCTCATCTAACTAATACAGTCTGTAACTTTAAACAGAATTACCAAGGTTGTTTTTTGCACCACTTTTTTGCTATTTTCTTTGATTATCCTGGCTTTGAATTACATCGGGCAGGATAATGTAGAATTTTTATCTTTGCATGTACCATCTCTCAATGATAATTACAACTCACATTCACTATTTCACAATTCACAATTTTCACAAGTCATTACAAATGTTCATATCAATATTAACGGTTTGCTTTCGGAGCCGCCAGGCCTCCTCGGAGCCGGACAGTTCCTCCAAAGTTTTCATGCCCAAGAAAGCTAAAAGCTCGAAGTGTACAGATTCTCTCTCTGTTATACGCATGATTGAAGAAGAAATAGCTGGAAATTATTACTTTATCGTAGCTGATCGAAAGGATCCAGTTTTACCTGTTTTGTTTAATGCATTCGGATCTTCAAATTTTACTTTGAAATGCATATTGGATGTCCATTTTGTAAATGAAACTGGATTAGGAAAAGGAATGACGAAAGAACTTTTCTTCTTGGCTCTCAATGAGATCTCTGAATCACCTCTCCTAGAGGGCGATGAGTTCGAAAAAACTCTCGTCCACTGCCCCTATGAGTGCAACGCTGGGACAATCAAAAAATTTAGCTTGGTCTGTGCTTGGGCAACCATTCATCCATTGTTTGTGCAAGTTTTACACTTAACAAAACTAACAGAACTCCTATATTCAAAGCAAACTCCTACCTATTAACAAACAAAACGAACACATCAATTTCAAACAAAACAAAATTACACTGAGTTGATAACGAACTGAGCTGAGGGTAATAATTATTTTCTCATCCAACTAATACAGTCTGTAACTTTAAACAGAATTACCAAGGTTGTTTTTTGCACCACTTTTTTGCTATTTTCTTTGATTATCCTGGCTTTGAATTACATCGGGCAGGATAATGTAGAATTTTTATCTTTGCATGTACCATCTCTCAATGATAATTACAACTCACATTCACTATTTCACAATTCACAATTTTCACAAGTCATTACAAATGTTCATATCAATATTAACGGTTTGCTTTCGGAGCCTCTATTTATTTACTAACTCGAGATCAAATCCAGTTGCCTCTACTAAGAGAACAATTGAATGGAAGACCGAGAATCGACTTTTTCTTTCAGCAGCGGCTGATCTCTTTACAGCTGCTGGAGCTTGTTAGCTTGTTATGTAGAGGCAAACAATTAATCCAATTTTTTGTTGCATCTCAAGAAGACATTGACAGTGAGTTTTTATCATCGCACACCAGGAAAGATAGTCTTATTTATATTAGACCAGAAAAATACATAATCGATGAGGATGATGATTCTGATGATCCCGATGATCCTGGAGTCGTGGATAATCAACATCCAGAAGTTTGATTATCCTGGCTTTGAATTACATCAGGCAGGATAATGTAGAATTTTTATCTTTGCATGTACCATCTCTCAATGATAATTACAACTCACATTCACTATTTCACAATTCACAATTTTCACAAGTCATTACAAATGTTCATATCAATATTAACGGTTTGCTTTCGGAGCCTCTATTTATTTACAAACTCGAGATCAAATCCAGTTGCCTCTAATAAAACTGTCCAGTTATGTCCCTAGAAGACGGGTCCAAAGCCATTTACATGCTATTGATCCCATTGGAGTCTTATCCAGACGTAGAATTAGGCTAAGAAGACGTCAATACAAAGTTAAAGGTGCCAACTCTCTGTGTTAAGTATTTCTTAATACATTCACCAGTTTTCATCTCAATGAGAGTCACAATTTCACAATTTCACAATGCACAATTTTCACAAGTCATTACAATCGACATTTTCTTTCAGCAGCGGCTGATTTTTTACAGCTGTGGCAGCTTTTCTTTCAGCTATGGCTGCTGCTCTTGTAGCTGCGGCTGCTTTTTTCTCAGCTATAGATTTAACTTCAGCTGCTGTCTCAGCAGCTTTAGCGCCATATAAAGCCTGGACTTCCTCAATAGACACAGGCTTATCTGCGGTGATAGGCATCTGTAATTTGGTTTACAATGGAGTAGGCAAAATGAATCTTTACCCAGCAGTTCAAAACGACGAAAGAGGCCGATCTTTTGTTCAAGAGATTCCAACACCTCTGCCAGTTTCTCCTGGGTATATAGGGTGTCCCGATAATTCCTTATTTCGGAAACAGGTTTTTGTAGTTTCTTCTTTCTAACTTGCTTTTTTTTTTTAAGGAAAACCATTCTGATAGGGGCTGAACGAAAAACCATGATTACTAAGGTACTAAGGGAACAATTAATTTTTTATTAAGGTTTAAGATGAGCCCATCTTTCCCTGCAGCTTACCATTTCAGTGATTATGTTTTATTCTTCCAGTTATTTTATTGTTCTCATTTTGATTATTTAAGTTGTTGTCTTAATTTTTTATGTTTATATTGTAAGCTAGGTGGACCAAAAATTGTTGATGGGCCTTAAGAAGTGTTATCCTTGATTACTGCAAATGTGCCTCAAGTGACACAAATGAGAACATATTTCTCTTTCCTTTTTTTTTTGTGCCATAGTCTATTCTGTAAAGTAAATGACTCTTTTGCAGCATATATCCTACAAAACGTTGTGCAGCTCTTTCAGCTGAAACAGGATTTTGATTATGTTTTCATGTAACCTAATATTTAAATAGTAGAGGGCCTTTTTTGACCAGCATAGTTCAATAGTCTATACAGGATATTTATTTATTTATTTATCACATAGCGGGCTAAAGCCAAACAAATTAGAGCAATACATAAGATAGAAGAAAGCTTAAATGAAGAAAAACAAGATAACAAGTAGACAGCTAAAATAGAAGTACATTCAAGATACACACACATTAATACATAAAAATTTTTAAACTGAGTAACTACAAAAGAAGAGTTAGCGAGATGCGATGGTAAATTGTTCTAGGACCTTTTAATCCTGGCCACTACTGAATTGCAGCGATATGACGTCCTGGAAGGATCATCATACAAAGGCCTGGAAACTCCTAAAGAATATTCTAAATCTCTCGAACTGCAAAAACTTAACATAACCATTTAAAATTTTAAACACAAACGTTAAATCATAGAGGAGGTGCTGCGATTCAGTTGATGGAACATTGAGATGTACTGACAACTTGCTATAGTCATGGACATGATTTGAAGTTGAGGTTTTTCTAATGGCATGATGTGTATGCAGCAGCTATACCCGTCTTTTCCTCCAGATATCTTTTTGTAAGGGCTCGAAGTTTGTGAACATTATCGTCATTGTGAAATTTTTTATGGTTTCAAGGTGTTCCTCTACTTTTCAAGGATTTATCTCTTTCTTATCTTCGTTTGCTCACATATTTAACGAGTCAAATGATTTAATGAAGTACAGTTTAACTTTGTAATGTCAATTTCAACAAGGGTTTCATTTTTATTGTGCCCCAAAATTTGCTGTTTCTATTTTTGTTACATTGCTAGCTGTATTTATTTTTATATTTTTGATTGTATTATGTTCCTTTTTGTTGTATTTGTTATTTAATAGTTTCACGTGGTGCACCAGATGGTTAGTGAAATGTGCTAATGAGCGATATCCTTGATTTATACAAGGGTGGCTCGAATAGTATAAATGAGTTTATGTAGTTCATTTCTTTTTTTTTGGTGCAATGCTCTCTTCTTAGAAAAAAAATAGGCTGTGATTGTTTCAGCACTCCCTTTTCATAACACACTGCAGTTCTTTTGGCAAGAACGAGATTTTAATTGAATCAGTGAGAACGAAAACACACCAACTCGGTAACTCAAAGATGCTCGATTTTCATCAAAGAGAGTCAGTGTTCATGAACTCAAGTTAACGCATCTGTTCCAACTTGGACCTTTAAAGTGTCTTTCGGGACCAAAAATATTTTTCTTGCACTATCTTCTTCAACCACTGAGCAGTTTTGGGTGTGTCTTGATTATTTCCATTTTTTCAAGTTGGTGTGTTTTCGTTCTCACTGATTCAATTATATGTGTTTTCATTATGGATACTTAAACTTTCACGTAAACTATAAGTGTATGTATTTTTATGGAAAAATTCAAAATTAGAGGTATGCCATTTTGCCATTCTTCATTTTTTCTCCACTTAAAATTGTGTTACTCCTTTATTACTCTCATTATCTTTAATATTTTTTTACTCAGGCTTAACAGCATAACTACTTGTGCTTACACAAGAGGGGAAAACATGAAATATTCATGTAAATGTCCTTCTTTTTTGACGAACAGTTTTTTAAGCGGTCATATTTTATGTATGTAGAAGCCATTAATAGAATGGTAAACATAAGATTTGTCTCGGTACATTTAATTTTACAGATTGTCAAACATTTCTGTCAATTATTATTATTATTATTACTATTTTGTCAATATTTCTTTTCGAATTACAAGAAAAACTCACTTTTTACACTCTTTGAAAAATTATTCTTCATTTCAACTTTTCCTTTCCAATCCTAGAGGTAGAAGTAATTGCTCCATATTTTCAGCTTTTTTTTTCTTTCTCTTTTTATCCTTTTTTTTTTTTTTTTTTTTTTTTTTTTTTTTTTTTGCAAGAGGAGTTTAAAAGGTCGTCACCGACAGGAAAAACAAAGAATACTATAATGTCAGGGTATGAAGAAAAATTTTAATCAACCAGAAACATAGTAAAATAACAAGTTACTCCAAGGGAAGGTTGCTACAAAATACTAAAGATCAAACATAAAGAAATCTAGACGATTCGAGTCAGTAAAAAAATGAGTTGTTGATTCGCTGTTTTTACAAAACAGAGACTCATTTCAAAGTAAACAAACCCGGCCCAGTGGAACAAAAGCAGAGTACCTAAGACAAAGATCATCTGAAAGTTGGGCATTTAATCACCAAATCTCATTGGAAGGAAAAACTGGTGTTGAGAGGCATGGAGACGTACAACATCGGCACTGAAATCACACATTGTGTCTGTGCACTTCAGGATGTTAGAGAAGCAGAGAAAATAACACTTTTCTCACAATAACAGCTTTCTCCTTTTCGGCCTTTTTAAAAACAGCGAATTCGCAACTCATTTTTTGCTTATTTCTTTTTTCTGGTTAAAAATGCCAGGATATGGTGTCCATATTGTCAAACAGGTGAGTTTTGAGGACTTTTGTCAACATTATTCACTTATGAAAATCAATTTTTGGTATCACCCACTCTATTTCGGAAGTTGGTGAATTCCATATTCAAGTTTTTGTGACAAGCCTGAATTTGTTTCTTGTTATTAAAAGATAAGTTATTCAACACTGCAAAAACAAAACAAAAATAGAATTTGATTTCAATCCCAGGGTTCTAAGTAAAATTGCTGAATGTACCTCCAGCAATATATTTGCTCTGATTCGGATTTTTGATGATTGAAGAGACAACTTTTAAAATCACTAAAGTTATTAAGCAATATTTTTTTTCTCTTCCAAATAGTTTTGTACAACAGTGATAAAAATTTCGAAAAAGTGAAAAATAACAGGAGAATAGCTTCTTCAAATGAATAAAATAAATCCTCCCATTTTTACACAAACATTTTCAGTATTAAACTTGACAGTTGTCCTTGATGAACTTAAATTGTCTGTGCCTTCAGTTAAAAATGAAGAAACAATATTTAATATGAAAACCAACAAACATTGGGAGTTTTCCCTTTCCCAAAATAGGAAACCACAGACGGTGGGTATGATAATGTGCATACTGTAAATATGAAAATTCGTATATTGTTTAGGGAAGTTGCAGACTTCACAGCTTAAATTATTTTTTTGGCTAGAAAATTGACACTTTCATTATAATGCAGGTCCTTTTTTTGTCTTATGTGAGGAATTGTCTCCGAAAGAAAGACGAAGCATAACAGTTGCTTTATTATCTTCTTAAAAAAGAAAACGAGAGGGGAGATTTTGAAACCATGCAACGAAGATGCATGTCTTGGTAATTACACCATTGGAATTCCCACTTTATTCCAGTGAGGATATTCACACAAAGGGTGTTACAAATGTTTAGTCCGTGACCCTCGTCTAAGTGTACAAATAGAGTTAGCGACTTTTGGTCAATGCAAGGCTCTAGATTAACTTATTAGTATTGAAACAAGGCCTTGCCGAGCATTTTTGGATAAAAATTTATTTCTTGACAGAAGTTTTTTGAGGGTGAGTTTGTTTGATCCACCCCTGTTAAATTTTAGAGACTGAAAAATAAGGAAAATTAATGTTTGAAAATCCAAACATGTTAAAACCAGCAATACAACAAGGAATGCATGAAGGTGAAAACTTTTTTCTTCAGCAACGGGGGAAGTTTGCACAGTCATTCAATAGGAGCATTTCAACCTGCAAGTCATCTTAAGCCCCTGGCATTTTTCATGTTATGCCCATATTGAGCGCTGAGTTGAGAAAAGGAGAAAGATACATTGCCCTTTATTAACTATTGCCACGTATGGAATAGCCTCCAACACCACATTGCTGAAAAGGCACTGATACAACAAGAAAACATTGTGTTTCATCAAGACAATACGCTGCCAAATATATCCATAAAATATATCTGTAATCCTTGTAATGGAATGCATTTGACATTTTATTCATTTTTTTTGCTCTTACTTGTTCAGCTCCAAAATGCTCAGAGATCTGACACAGATCCACCAAACCTGCCATAAAATAACTTAGTACAAACGCCAATTTTTGTCCAAGTAAGCTTGACAAGGTGTCATTTGGAAGCTAATGTGATACACTTGAGTCCTCCACAAACTGGGAGTTACCAGGTTCATTTATTCACTTAAACAAAAGTTGATGATAACTTTTGGAACACCCTTTGTAGAGTAACGAAGGGAACTGAGTTCAATGCTAAAGACATTTAAAATAGGAAACAAAATCGAGAATAATTTAATACGTGGTATTTATTTCTTTTTTTTTATTTTTATTTTTTTTTACACAGAAGTAAACAACAATTGAGTCTATTCGTTTGACAGGTGATTTCGCAAGTTCAAATACAATTGTATCCCCTGTTGGTCATCTTCCACCATTGGATCAGGTACTAATTCCTCAAAAGTTGCACTAATTTGATGAATCAACTCAGGATCGAGATCAAGATTGCTCCTTAAAAGGACACTGGAAAATGGCTCACGATTGAATGTGGAGTGAAAACCCACTTGCTCAGGGACAAGTCTCAATGAGCATACGTCATTTTCATAGCTTTGCTCTATTAAGTTAGTAAGCCACAGTTCATGAGGGCATCGGTTATTTTCAGTACTTAAATTATGATGGTTCCAGCAATTCTTAAAGTACGTTAAGGTATTTTGGATTCTAGGAAAGTAAACGTACCAAAGGCATAGTAAGTCTGAGAGAGAAAGTTGACTAAGAACATCATTTTCCTCTAAATATTTAAAGACAGCTCGATATCTTTGAGTGACAATCCTATTCACTTCCCCCCACAATCTCTCAATCCTCGTGTTGTGTACACTTTTACCTGGAATAAAGGGTGATACAACAGTTGAACGACTGGACTGCATGAAGTCGACGATACGAACATTTTCGGTCCCATAGTCTCCGCGCACTCTCAGTGGCAATCCATTTTCTGTCACTCCTCTAATAAAAATATCAAGTACAACATCTGCTTGTTTTGTAAGACAAACTTCGAGATACATGACTTTGCGGCTGAATCCATCAGTACATCCATGAATCCACATGCCCCAATTAACGATCTTTTCATTACCGTCAATATGCCTGAAACCATATTACAGATTGTAAGAAGAAGGGTTACAATATGGGATGAGTTTGAAGGAAACGCATCAAATTTTTTTGGAAACAAAAACTGGGTCCTTTGCTATTAGGCAGAAGTAATTCTCCATAAACACGGTTCTTTTCTTTGATTCCAGTTTTGGATGTAGGTGAACAAGAAAACTGCAGTCTTTGTTCTTTTTTGAAGTCAGTTTCAGAAGTCAGTGAATGTGAAGGACCACATCACTTTAATATTTTCTGCTTCAGACTGGATCTTGTTGCTGAGAAATAAATTAAACAAGATGGAGTAATTGATCAAAGTCAACCAGTTTTAGGTAAAAAATTATTTTTAAGAATTTCTGTGAAATTCTGTCGAACCACTGCAATCCTCTTGTTCCCTGAGACTTGGTAGATTTCCATTAAACTCCATCCATGTCAAAAGCAGAATCAAACACATGTAAAATGGATGAGACAATAAATGAAAAATATGACTTCATACGCACAATTTATCTAGAATGGAAATATTTATCAAAAAACTGAAAAGTAAATTTTAGAAGCGAGTGATAGTTTCTCAAACAAGATTCGATAAGAAGGAAACTGCACCCATATTTTAGAGAAAACAACCTGTTTTCAAAAAAGGGAGACTGTAGTATCTTGGGCAATTGTTGACGTCTCTCAATAATTTTGCCCATAATGCAAGATGGTAGAGATGTCTTGGCGATCAAAATAAACAAACATCTATGCACTACCCGATTCAGTTTTAGAGGAGACATGAATAGGTTCTCAACAAGAAATCTTGAAATGGCAGAAGGACCTCTCACATGTAGAGATAGTATACTGCAGTAATTATAGTGGCCAATTTAAAGAGGCATTTGCGTATGTAAAACACGACATACTATTGTATAAGCCTAATTGAAATGATTTGATTTGATTCGGACCTAACTAAAAGACTCAAACATGTAGAATTCTCTAGGAAGGAAAGGAATTAAATCTGAATTAATGTAGGTTCCCTGTGGGGTACTACACTGCAGTGTAAGAAAACGCTGTAAGAACCTTCAAGCGCTGCCAAATTTCCTTGGATTAAGCATGAATTTCCTAGTAAACTTATTTATATTTTCCTTCCAATTTTCCAAATAATTTTATTTGCAATTTCATTTAAAGTTCCTGAAAATTTCAAGGATAAATATTCATTCCTTTCCTCAGAAAGAAACATTTTATGTACAGAAATTTGACAACTCTAGAATGTTCTTACGGGGTTCTTCCTTAACGCGGCAGTATAGGGGTCAATATTAGGGCCTCTATCGTTCCAAAACTTCACACATAATGTAGCCCAGTGCTTAGTGAATAATGTAAGCAAGGATCTAATGTTCTCCACATTAATATTGACTGAAACCTCAACCGTTGTAAAGGCAGTTCCACAATATTTGTGTGGCTCCTCAGTTCAAAACAAGCCATACGACTTGACTACCCAATTTGCAGCCCTTGTTTCCAGGTTCCAAGGTCAGTTTTCACTGACATTGATGAGCGCCTGTGCAATAATGATGAAAACTGGTGAATGTATTAAGAAATACTTACCACAGAGAGTTGGCACCTTTAACTTTGTATTGACGTCTTCTTAGCCTAATTCTACGTCTGGATAAGACTCCAATGGGATCAATAGCACGTAAATGGCTTTGGACCAATCTTCTAGGAACATATAAGTGTTGGGCTTTCAATGCTCCCCAAACATATCTCAGTCCAGCAGATGGAAATTCTCGTTTAATAGCCGTTATTGCAACAAACAGTTCTTCATCGCTCATCACGTGAGAAGTCCTGGGATCTTCGATATGATTATCTTGTAATCTATTCGTCAGTGTTCTTCGAGACACATTAAATACTTTCGCAATTCTTGTCCAAGTTGCACCACATTGTCTCAATGCGTTCACTTGAGGGGCTGGGATGTCGATTCTCGGTCTTCCATTCAATCGTTCTCTTATTAACGGCAACTGGATTCGTTCAAAAGTTCTCTCAATTGATGATCTGCCAATTAAATCCTCAGCTTGATCTAAAAGATTTCGAAAAATATCTACAAGCTGAGATAACAAACCGTTAATATTGACATTGTCATAAAGATTTGTAGCGACCACTTGAGAAAATAAATGATAATTTTCATTAAGAGTAGGTACATGCAAAGACAGAAATTCAATATTATTCTGTCTGATGCAATTTGTGACACTTTCAAAGTTTCTCAACACGTCTTCAAGAAAGTCCATGGTCACTTTTTCACAGATAACAATTTAATTAGGGATAACGCATTCAGCGAAAGCAAACACTTTCATGATTACATGATTTTAAAGTTTAAAATTCGGGTGCATGCATTGAGGTTAGGTACAGGTTTTTTTTAAAGACTTGATTAAAATTGAAAGTAAAAAAACAGAAAAATAGTAAGTGTAATATATCAATAGCTTTGTAATGGCTTTGAGAAGCACTTTAGAGAGGTTTCCACGAGCAATTTTCTTTCAAATTAAAGAAAATTGAGGAAAATTGCGAGCCAATAAAAAGCCGGGAAAAGCTGGTGGCACCGATGTGCACCGGTGACACATCTGAACGCATCATCGGACTTGCTTAAACTCGTAAGCAGTTTTTGCCCAAACGGTACTTCATAGTGTACCTTGCCCCTGGTCGGTCGTTACCAGCCTCCAACTAGTTGTGAATAGATTTATACCTAATTTGGATAAGAGTTTAATTCTTTGTAGATGCTAACTACTATATTTACATATTCATATTATTACGTCTCACGTGTTCTACTGGAGCCCGATATACTATTACCTTAGTTTCTCTTGAAATGTTCAAGTGGTATCTTTATTTTATTGAACGAATATGTGACAAATTTTTAAGTGAGGTTATGTCGTCATGTCCATGTCAGTACCTGACCTAAGCGATAGATGTAATTCAGGTAAATTACGTTAACGAAATTACACCGAAATTGTGCCAAACTCTAAAGAGGAAGCAGCATTTACATCACAGAATGCATGCTCGTGACTAAAGTCTAAAAATTACCGGAATATGAGCCTCGGCCTTCACATGCGACTGTCACTGAACTTCGACCGAAATTTATTCGCTCTACATCTTGCCATCAACCTATGTGCTCTGGAGTGATTATGTTTCTCTGAAGTGTATGTTATTTACATTAAGAACATGTTTCCTTCATGATTTATCTTGGAATCCTCCTATCTCTTCTACCGTTCTTGTTACGCGTGGCTTGCGAACCTGAGTATGTGAGGCACAATTCCATCCCTTTTCGGAACAGTTCAATCATAGATCAACTTAATGTCACACAATCAAAGATCTTTGACTGTGAGCATTTGCTCAAATTGGTTTCTTCCGAGTCTCTTTGATTTTGCGTCAGGAGTTGTTAGAAACATCATTTTGCCCAACAATAGTAACACGGTCTTCAATGAAAGGTATGTACTCGTATTATTCTCATAATTTCATAAGTTGATGATGAAAACACAATGAAGGCTTCATTTTCTTGCATCGATTACCGTGTGAAATGGGTGCGCCCATTCTTCCTCCATACAAAAGCGTAACAGAATAAATTGCTTATCTGTCAAGAGGACTACAGTAGTAATATACGTAGGTGCCAGTTCCTACCCAGTTCCATTGGAATAAGTGCGATTGTGTCAATCAAGGCTGAGTACAATTATATTAACAATTATCTTTTTATCCAGCCAGAAATATGTCTTCATGATCCTTACTTTGTCTATGAGCCTTGCCTGATCGCATCAGCCCCAGTAAGTGAGAGGATATACCCACCTAAATCGGAATGGAAAGCTTTGTTTAAATCGCCGCCCCTCTTTCTTGCTGCTTATGTAAGGGGATAATCTCCACCCTTTTAATGGATATTTAATCTCAGTTCTCTGTTTTAAATGAGGACCAGTTTGCTAGAGGGAGCCTCTGTGCACGCTCTGTGTCATTCACGTATTGAGTGTTTGTTTACATCGAGTCATAAGGTATTTATACTTATTGCTAGATGTGTTACTGAAGTATTATTCCATTTTGACCTAGCGAGTGCTTTCTAAGCTCAGCTCCCAGCATGTAATTACTCCAGTGAAACAGTGCACGTAAAATATCAGGTGTGCGGAGTTCAGTATTGACCTACCTAGTTTCTGCACCGCTAATCGTCCAAGGCTGAATGTGATTAGATCAATTGGTATCATTTATGAGAAGAAATGGAAAGCTCGCATATCACCTTACATATATTAACTAAATGCTCTTATCAAGAGATTGCCGTTTCGGTTGATGTCTGTCAGTGAACCTTGAAAACTCAAGGAAACTAAGAGGTAAATTTGTCAATATTTTATCCTTAAAATGCCTGTAAGTATTACGACCAAATACTTTCTCCGTGGCTTTTGCATTTTTTAAAATAACTTAAGGCACTACCTATGTGGGCAAGTATATGATTTGACAAATTTTATGGTGAAGCGATATTATTCGAAATTAATCCAAGAGAAAGGTAAGCTATTTCATTGCATGCGCAGGTATTTTTTTGCAATGGCCGATACTTAATAAGGTCAGTGAGAAATTCTCTTAATAGGTATTCATTGTCAGAACCTGCAGCCTGATTGTCGAAATTGTGTGTTTCTCGGGTAGACATAGATGACATAGGTCAAAAGG